ATACTTACACTGGTAAAGAGTGTTGACTTTGATGATGTCATTTGAAGTCAGTTTATGTTGACTTCCAATGCCCTTTGTGTTCGTGGGGTCATTAATGGCTGTTATTGTGTTTTTTTGGTTTTTGGTGAAAGCGTTGGCTTTATAGTGGAGAACGGATCGGTACTCATAATCCAATCCCAGTGTATCCACTACATTGTTGTCAAGACGTTCAAAGTTTGATACTTTATCTGTTGGCAAAAAGAAAACAAGAGATATTCTTTTTTTAAATTGAAATAATAAAATAATATTATATTTATATCAAAATATTTTTTTCGCAGACCTAGCTACAGTCAATCTCATTAGCGTTTGCAGTTGTGAATACAACAACAAATTCATGTAATAGATTGTGTGTTTTTTTTTGTGTTTTTTTTTTACTTCTTTACCAAAATATATTCAACGTAAAATTCCAAAACTTCTTTACAATCACAACATTTTATTCGCTATTTATCTATTAAAATTCTTCCTCGGAATTAAAAAAATATGCAAATGAGTTTTTTGCTGTCTTTATGAGTAACGTTGATAGTATCAATGGTTAGAATAATCACGAACCAGGCCATAGTTTAATACAAATTATCAAGAATTTGTGCAAAAATATTGGAGCAGATATTTTTAAATATCAGATATTTTTAAATATCTGCTTAAAAGAATATTTGCTCCATCCCGTTTGTCCTTTCATTCATTTGTGACAGAATGTCTCTGCTGTGTGGGATCTCAAGCTTTTCCCGTCGTCAATCTGATCGACCATCATTCAATGCGGTCGTGGTTTAGCATTYTCATGCACGAAAAATGAGAAGACTTTTAATAATATCTATTCCCTGTTTTTACCCGTCGAATTTTCAATATCTTCAATTCATATAGCACTAAGGGATGCTAAAGAKTAATTAGAGCTTTAGTTAAGGCGTGTGGGCAAACGCTTACATTAACATTTGTTACAACATTAATTCTTTGAWCTTWTTGTACGGCAGTGTATGCGTTTGCGCATTAGTTGACCCTTTGAAGATTGTTGAAAGATCAATGTTGAATCAGTTTAAAAGTGTTTTTACTTTGTTTCCAAATCCACATTTCTTTGTTCTCAAAATGATGAATGATGTTAAATTCAATTCAATTTTATTCATTGATTTAAATCAGGTAATGTAAATTACATGTACAGAGTGCAAATAGTTTAACTAATCGAGGCAGTCTGTGTTACGTTTTTCTCAAGTATATAAACAGTATATAAACAAGGAGAAATAACAAGAGACCAAATCTAATATGGCGGATCCGAGTCGTCTTTATTTACTCACGTGTTACACAGGTAATCCAAAACATAAGAACATTACAGTCTGTACAGATACTTAATAAATAAAGTGACCATAAATATATATGATAAATAAATAAATAAATACTAAGTCAATGAGTAAATATGATTTCGAAGCTGTTTGCGTTGTTTCGAAGAGTTATTGGAGAGGGATTCTTTGTCACTCACTCACTTTCATGTAAACTTTTAAAAATAGCCGCTGAAAAAAACCCCGCAGGCTCTCAAAATGGCGGACCGAGAAATACCCGGGGAAATATAACGTTTATAAGCATGTGTAAAGCTGGTCTAAGAGACAATTTTCGCGAAAATTTACTTTGGATTACATCGTGCTTATTCATTTTGAAGAAAGTTGGAAAATTTGGATTGATAGTGAAACAGGTTTTGTAGCCGAATTTGCTGGCGGMGGTTCGACAGACTRCGATCGTAGGTTTGTTGATGATACTATAGAAATACAACGTTTTGGCTGATCATGATAAGCTCTRTGGTACATTTTTTTAAATTTCATATTCTGTTARAATTTTTCAAAATAACCCTACAATCTCCGAGTTGTGTTGCCATTGGCTCTTGATTTATTTAATTAAATGTTGATAAAATGGAAGAATTCATGAAATTCATGAAATTCTCCACAAAACTTGAATTGAAATGTAAAGATTTTTAAATTTTAAAAGTCCAAAGAACCCTTTCACTAGGCGACTAAAAGTAGAAAAAAAACAACAACACAATAACCAAATAATGAAATGGTTATCATACCGTTGATGATGTTTTCCCAGAAGATTTCAACATTGCTGTCTCTATCAGGCCTGCTTTGCTCGTGGTAAAACCCTATATTAATCAAAGAAAAGATATGAATAAAGCAGGCTTAGCTTTACACTGTTGATCAAAGTAAGAACGTCCACTGAGAATGAAGAGATCAGAGGTTCACACTAAAATGAGCTAAAGGATTGTTATGTCTCTTGCTTCCTGGAAGAACACACGGCCAATTTGAATTAATAAATAGAATAAGCCTATTTGGTCACATGCATGACCCTAGCAAAGSTCTCAGGTTTGATACCTCATCATTGTCCARCGCAGGATTTCAACCAATTCCAGTAAAACATCCACCAACGCTTCTATGCATTGGCATGACAACAGTGCTTTGTAAAGTGATTCGCGYGTGATCAGTTTGCCGCATTTATCTCAAAACTTGTTTTTACRGCAATTTMTCCAAGAATCATTTAACGGTTTTGAGTTTCAAATTAGTGTTGGAGTTTTTGAAACCGCTTAACACTCGAGATCGTGTTTTAAGCTATACATGAAAACCGTYTAAAAGTATACTGATAGAGTGAATAGTGATAATAAATTGAATAAAAKTATTTTCCACTAGCTTAAGTTTTTTTAATCAGAAACGCAGACGTTTCGGTCAGAACTCTGACCTTCCTCAGCGCGCTGTACAGAAATAGTTTTTTTTTTAACAAGATTCTTTTGAAAATTAGCGCGCGCGATTCTTACAAGAATTTATGATTGTTCTGTAAGCTACGGGAATCACAGTTCYAAAATTTCCCGAGTTACAGTCAAGCTCAGAAAACCAAGCTTCTAAAAAGAGTCTCTTGTGATAGTTTGGTTCTGACTGAACGAGTGAATAGTGACTTAGATACATTTTACAATGAACCGGGTTTTTTTTGTTTGGGGGGGGGGGGGGGGGGACAAAACACTGATCGCACTTCGAGGTTTTCCATGAAAGGGACGGGTCTTGCCGTAAACCAACTGTACCGGTGATCAGATACGTAAAAAAACCTGATCTCTTTTATAGGTAACCGATTATTCACTAAAGTTGAGTATTCATACCTATAGCATGCATGATCTCATGCAAGATAACTCCCAGGTTTTCACAGCCTTGTCCAAGAGATAATTCTTGGGAACCTTGACTAGTGAATTGTCGTCCTACATAAGACCAACAGCTAAAAATAATAATAAAAATAAAAAAACGTACCAAACATCAGACAGTCACTTTTAACTCCCTGGAATATTTGTTTCCAATTTTTTATACTCGATTTTCCATTTTTTTCTGTGTCCAAAAAGAGTWCACTTAGTACAAGTTTCCTACGACTTCGAGTGACTGCCACGAAATTAATTTCACAAAAAAATCAAAGTTCGAGAATAAAATTTCTTTGCTCTGTGCAATAATCATTTAGTTTAATTTAGAAGTGTACTGAAATTAAACCCTAAGTCACTTGTTTGATAATATTAAGATATAAAGTAGCTTATTACAATAATGCAAAACCATCGAATGTAAATATTATATATTGTCGCTATCAGGGTCATTTATATACTTCTATCTCGTAACAATTGGTCACGTGGGTACACAATTTGATGATCATTGGTTGCAAATAGGGTAAAGATTCGACACTGGRTATTGAYCAAGATACGAAAACGACAATTGGACACCCACCAAATCATCCCAGTTTATAAATTCACAATCATTTCTAGCACTTCATACCAGACTAAGTGCGTCTAGTCGAAGTTTCGCATCAATTATTTGTTAATGACAATGATGAGCAATGAAGAACAATTTTACATTCTTTTCATCATACTTAAAGTATAACAGAGAGAGAGAGAGAGAGGTAAGATAACCTATCCCCTCCCTACTGGGGTTTGCATACATGCATCTTGACACTTGTTTATTCGATTTCCAAAGCTTGAGTCAATTAAGGAATGGAGGGTCATTGCCCAGATCATGGTAGGATTGGTAAGAATTAGCTAAAAATAGTTTGTTTCTGAAAATAGCAAGGGCAAGGCTCCTGATGGGGTTAGGGGCTAGCTTGCCTTAGCTCATTCTATCTTGTTCATTTCAAAATAGAGAACATGGGTMTTGGCTAAATGAGCTTGAAACAATCCGAAACAAGAATTCAATCACAAGAACTTACCCCGTTTTCTTAACAAACTTGATCCAGTTTTTATGACTGCTGTCTTTAGCAACAAAMCTCAGACAAGTGTGGTTATGGAAGGTTTCAAATGCCTTCTTGATAACTGCTTCATGTTCTGAAAATAGTTTTTGTATTACATTGTATAGTTCAAGTAATTCAATCCATTCATACTGGAGGAGYCGGCCGCGATGCCGAAAACTGTTCTTATACCATATTTCCCTGGGAGTTTCGCGTGACTCGTTTTTGCAGAAGCTCAAGACTTTCCTTGGGAAATGTGAGGATTGCATGGCACTATGGGATACTTGATATAATAATAAACGTTCCATGGATTCTATTCAATGAATTGAGCAAATAGTTTTCTTTCTTACCTTGCAGAGCAGCATCAATTTCAAAAGGAATCTTATTATTCAGCCACAATCTTCTAAGGTCCCTAACACCGTTTCTTTTTGCGATACCTTGACCAGACTTAAGTTGTGCCTCTTCGTTCTTATCCATCTCGCTTTCCATGATGTCTCCTTCCCTGAGAACTTCAGTCTGATCTGGTTCTAGAAGCGGTTCTGCGGCTAAGACGCATTTAGATAAAGAAGATTATCAAGTAATACTGGTTTATCTCAGAGACAATGTTGGACAGAGAAATGAGAATCATTGTAATTSTCGAATAAATACTGAAAAAAAAATTATTCAGCCATCCGCTTTCTATTTCCTAATTAGGCAGACTGCGCAATATTTTTTTTTGGGGGGGTGCGGGGGGGAGGGGGGGATGAGCCAAAAAATTAAATAGCTAATTAATCACATAAAATTATTTTTTCCCCTCCCTCTCTGAATTTCTCAGGGAATAATGATGAATTACAAAGGTATAGTGGTATTAATAGTTACCTGCATCATTTGCGTATTCTTTCTTTGTTTCAGTTATAACAAAATCATCTTCTGATAATTCTTTGATAAAATAAAATACAGTATTAATAGAATATTTGTGTGTTGTTTCACATTAAAACGATGGTCGACACAAACGACTTCTGACTTATTAAAATAGAAATTAACAAATTTAAACAAGCAAACAAACAATTCCCCCTCCTAAAAAACATTAACATGATAACTGGACATAAGCAGAAAAAACGTGTGTGTGTGTGTGTGTGTGGGSGGGGGGGGGGGGGGGGGGGGGGGGGGGGGGGGGGGGTGGTTGCGGAGTCCTCGTCGTCCACTTTAGAGTTTGAAATCAATGTCTTTCTCGTTCCCGCTTAGCGTCCCGTAGAATGATAATGATATAAGATATATATTTCATTTATATGTATTCTTGGGATGAAACAAATCATCAATCAATCCTTATTTCAACCAGAAGGCTTCGACCACCCACACTCAAAAACATAATTAAACACCAGSAGAGGAGTCAGCTGTAGGATCTGTAGGAAGAGTGTATATAGGTTTTTTGCGTTGGATAAGGATTTATCAGAGCATCATTCACATGGCTACAACCGGTCAAGACTGACAATAAAGGGTTTAACGGCTTACCGGTGAGGATTTTTGGAATTCGGTATGCTGAAGTCCCGCCAGAAAAGACGAGAAAAACAAGAATCACTAACATCGTGAACTTATTCCCTCGTTAACTGAAAGAAATACGTCATCATTGTGAGATAATCAAATTAAACAAAAAATCTAGAATAAATGCTGTGTTTAGAAAATTAAAAAAACAATACTTCATAGATCTTCTAGAAAAGGCGCCAGTAGCCGTGCAACATACGTGTTTGAGTAAATCTAAAATGTTATGTGTACAGGCTTTTGCCGTGGAATATATTTTTTATCAGTGACGTGATTGACTATTTTCTAGTCTTAAATTCGCAGTTTCACTTTAGCATTCGCATCATACTCTGAGAATTTAAAAGACGTAAGGTTACTTTGCAGCATTTTAGAATGATAACCAGAACAAGTATATTTTACAATAAAGAAAAAAAAAAACAACAAACGAAAAAGAAATAACAAGCAAACAAAGAAAAGAAATACTAAGCCCTTCGTGTTTTAGGCCTTCAATGTTTTGGAACTACATTAAGGAAATTTGGAAATATCGTGGCGTTAATCACGTACATGTCACGAGAACCAATGTCTAAAACAACATATTTTGTGTATCTAAAAGTTGGAAATACTTCAATTATTTGAATGAACATTTTTCAGGGTAAACGAATTCCTCAAAATGTTACAACTGTTTTAAAAATAGGCTCAATTCTTTCTGACAAGATTTGTGAGAGGTCGTGTAGGCGCAGCTACACCAAGCAGCAAATGGCGGCGTTGTGTCCATATTATCGTCCGAATGCCTCAAAACGCATTTATCTGCGTTATGTGAACGCTACATTCACTATGGACGCTATATGGACGCTAGGCGAAAATTTTCATCTTGTTGAAGTTTTGCGCGAAACAGCAACTTGTGCTTGTGCTTGTGCTTGTGCTTGTTGTGCTGTAAGACAAAATTCTTATGCTCTGCATCTGCTTCTCGTTTCTTTCATTTTAAAACCGTCATTTCTTTGTAATATCCAATTCAATTTGTAAACTGTAAAATCAATTTTTTTTCAGTTGCGTACAGAGAACTAAGATGTATGGGAATTTGGACAGAAAAGATCGTTTACTGTGTAATAATTTCAAAAAAAAAATCACTATTATACTAATAGAAGTATGACATACTTACCGTTCGCAGTTTGTGGTTGTGTGTCTAGCGTGGTACAATAACGGTTTGTAAAGACCGTTTCGWTATCCAGTGATATGGATATGACCATCAATAGTGTGTAATAGATAGCTGTAACAAGAAACAGTATCACAGATATATGACCGTTTAACGACCGGAAGTACTTTATCATCATGTCAGCGGTAGATTAAACACACTGAACTWAAAAACCTTGTGCAATTCCCCGCTTATTTTGAAACAAATATCTTATTTTTAATAAGCAGTTTTGCTATAATTCAAGTGTATTTTTTGCATTAGTTTTAGCATTAGTGAAAATACTAAATAGTAAAGAAAACACTTGTAGAAAGCATTTAGTTGTACGGCCAATGTAAGTAAACTATTTATAAGAAAAAGATGCTCTATTTGTACAATTTTGTTAACGCYATTTCTTAGATATGATGAATAGATTTTCTCTAGAAAGTCTCGCGCAACTAAAATTAATGCAGGTGTAAACAAGTGGGATTATAGTGTTGATTGTCGCGCGACTATTGAATCGTCCTAGTTTCGAACACGCTCGCAATCCGATGAACTAAGAACTGCTATATAAACGGACGAAACAAAAATCGATGTTTCTAAATCTTACCAGTYCCTATGAGATCGCAAATTAAAAATAGAGGCAAGGGGGACGATCTCATAAGATGAATTGATTTAAATATTTGAGTTCGCCAAAAAATCCAGACAACTTATTTTTCTTGATTATCGTCTAAAAAAAAATCTCTGTTCAATACTTCAAACTTCGACTGTTTCTAATTTACCACAAGGTATTCGTTCTTGTTTTCATAATTCTGTAAAAAAATGAKCATTTTAGTTTGYCGGTATCCGACCAAAATTAATAAAATAAACCATAAAATAACGCAGCGATTCAATGCAGCTCACATAGTTTAAGCATGTAACACAATAAAAAAATGTATATTTTCGTCGTTTGATACGATATCAATATACATTATATTATGAATGTTTTGCAGTGTGTGTTGTGTTCTTCTTCAAGGCYACACGTATATTACTTTATCGTATGATTTACTAGCACTTTCTTAATGTACTTTGACTTTCGGATAATCAAGGAAAAATGACGCACTTTTTGATAAATATGTTATTACATATTGCATGGTTCCCACGCCCGTTCCTTCCTTTGTTTCTTGCGTTTTTTTACACAACCGATGCTCTATACTCTTGGGACCTGGTCTCCTGCAATAGATGGGACTTTGTTAGCATATTTCTTAAAAGTCTTTCTTTAGTAGAAAGAGTCTTTCGAACTGAATAGTTGATTATATCGTCCCTTTAATTCGTTGTGAATCGGTTCTGTTCAATCTCTGTCAATTGTCTAGGAGAGCTGTTTACAGTCCCCAGTTATGCGAGGCTTTCGTGTAGAAAGAATTTCGAGTCCTGTAGGCAGGCAATCGGCTCTTTCAAGAAACGTTTCCAAAGTGTTTTGAAAACGCTTCAAATGCAAGTAAAGAGTTTTGAATTTCCAGTAAATTGCCTGTGTTCCTCATTCAAGGACCATAATTTCAAGAGAAGCCTATATTTTCAGAATGCAGTGTGTTTCTGATATATGTCTATTGTCAATTTAAAGAGTTTTGTAGCTTTCATTCGAATCAATAACAAATCAGTAGACATCCATACTAAGTGGGTAAGAATCGCAAAGCCGTGTCCGCGTAGAAATATTTTGGGAATGTATTGCAAATCGACCAATCAGAAGCAAGTTTAACCGTCATCTAAGTGCATTTTCACGTGCAAATTCGATCAAAAATTCAAAGTTAAAAAATAGATTAAACTGGTTAATCTCCGAAAAACGACAAGCTCACAAAATTTCGAGTCCTGTATGTTTTTGAACAAAATATTGAAAGACCTCGCAAATTATTTGTATTAATTGAAATATTTCCAAAAATTATTTTTGGTAAAATCAGTCAGTTACATAGTAACCAGTATTATTGAGTTTCTCTCGGTACACTTAGTTAACGATCACTTGACATGATATATATAAACTATGCAACAGGTGCAACAAACGATCAGAAGCACAAGATCTTCCTGTAAAATCTGATTCAATATGGCGGTCTCGACATGCGATTTCGKCGGCCATAAAAGTTTCGACAAAACAAGGTCGAAATCATTCACATTCCGAAAGTATAATTAAATTGGAAACGTTAAATACTGGAAAAAGGAGTTTAATTACTGGTGGGAACTAGCGGTAAACTAGTGTGAGCTGCGTCGGTGTTTCTAAAGAAACAGTTATGTAAAAAGATAAATTTAACACCGTAACATACTTTTTTACGGTGTTAAATTTATCAGTTTAATTACTGCCCGTTTTTGAAGGGCGTAGGTGATCTATGAAGCGAGTATAACGATTTTTAGATTTCTATAAAGTTCTTTTTTAATTACAGGGTCATAGGCGAGAGACGTGCTAGGGATTTTTTTGGTGCAGTATCCGTTGGAAATTTGTCCAACGGGAATTATTTAGCGTCGATTTTTCACTATTTCTTTGTAATTGTGTGACACTTTTCATACCCATCAAAATGGTATTCGATACCGTTATAAGACCTATTGATTGAAGTTTTCCAGCCGATATCCTGCACATTATTTATGAAAAAGACTTATTTCACAGCATGCTTCCCTTAAAATTACGCGTGGTTTGTGTAAGGAATAATGATTGTCGTACTAAATAAATATTATAATCTAAACGATTCTTAATAAATTGATCGCCTAGCAGTTTGTTTCCGCGTAGTTTGTTTCCTCTCGGACTGGAAACACCTGCGACTACAACTAACAATATTAGCCTTGCTTTTCTTCACAGGGTTGATGGATGCTAATGCCGTTCAGGAGTTCTCACGGTCTTTTCGCCCACCTCATGGTCTTGATAACTGTTTTATTTTCAGTCATTGTAACTTTTAACATAATAACTCATCTGTCATTATAAACACGAATACCAAGAMCTATCAAAGGAAACACTATGTTTAATAGCTTTTGCTCTTTTTTATTAACCACTTTGAATTTTGTAACTTGTGAGCTGATCTTTTATGCCCAAGCTTCCGAGAAGCATTAAAAAKGGGTATATCCGTAACCACGCTATCCATTGCAGACCTACGAAAACGACTTTGAGTGATTTACAAGTCATCTTTTATACGCAACTCAGTCGTCAGCAACGGATGATCATTCAGAGTTCAAAGAACACGAGATCCATAAAAATAGTTGTAGTCATTACCAGTTTAACATATTTTTATTATAACTAACTAAGTAGAGCTTTTTCATGGCAGAAACACTGATGATCTGCTTTGTACCCGCAATGTTTCTTGGCTTTGTACTTATTACAATTCTKACTGCGTAAGTGTCACCGATTTTGTACATGTAAGCGGCTGCGTACAGGCAATCGGCTCTTTCAAGAAACGTTTCCAAAGTGTTTTCAAATGCAAGTAAAGAGTTTTGAATTCCCAGTAAATTGCGGGTACAAAAATACCGCCTGCGTGTCTCATTCAAGGACCATAATTTCAAGAGAAGCCTATATTTTCAGAATACGGTGTGTTTCTGATATATGTCTATTGTCAATTCAAAGGGTTTTGTAGCTTTCATTCGAATCAATAACAAATCAGTAGACATCCATACTAAAGTGGGTAAGAATCGCAAAGCCGTGTCCGCGTAGAAATATTTTGGGAATGTATTGCAAATCGACCAATCAGAAGCAAGTTTAACCGTCACCTAAGTGCATTTTCACGTGCAAATTCGATCAAAAAYTCAAAGTTAAAAATAGATTAAACTGGTTAATCTCCGAAAAACGTCCTGGAAAAGCTCACAAATGCCGGTGCAGTTTCATTGCTAAGAATCAATTTTCACGAAATACTTCTTCCMGGTCRCAGCTTTGYGATTCGWACTGTAAGAACTTTTAGTTGGTAATGCAATTTCTCATATACATGTAGATTGTCTTCAAATACAATCATGGAAGATAAACCCAGAAGTCATCAGTGTTGCTGGCTCTCATCTTCCTATTTTCAACATTTCTGTCATCTTTCTTTCCTTGGTTGCTCTTTTAATTTAACGAATTAGGGACAGTCGCTATTGTCCCTCAAATGAACCGATTAGATTGTCGCTATTGTCCCTCAAATGAACCAATTAGATTTCAGGTTAATTGTCGGTATTCTTGACTGAAAACAACCAACAATGATATCCACTGACGTCCTTTTCCCGTAACTACTGGTCAGAGGTGGTTGCCATGACAAGTGTCACGTGGTTATTTTGTATCGGCGTCCTGTGACCCTGTGAATGTGACTTGAGGGTAGCTCGATTTCACGGATTTCTTTTCGTTTTTAAGAGTAAAGAGCTGAAAGAAATAATCACGAGGTATACATAAAAATAAACCACTTGCACTTTGCACTCCATGGTAAAGCACTAACAGCTGCCTAACAATACAATCAGTACAAAACAAACCCAATGTGTACCAATAGCAGCAAGAAATACACAATGAAGGTCATACAAAAGAGAACAAAAGAAGAAAGATATTTGAAACCGTTCATTCAACTAATTTCGTTTCCAGTAACAATTATTTACTCAAACGAATGTCTAACGTTCAAAATGTCAGTAAGTTACTTCTCGTACTTTTTAACATGTAAAATTCATTTCCTTAAGAAAAATGGTTGCTTTAAAAAACCTTTGTACCACTGATCCAAATGACTGCCTTAATTTTAAAAATGTTTACAATTTGATTTTGTCTTCAATTAAAGTCTATAGCTACCGCTTTTGGTCATACCTGGTCTGTCTAAGTCCTGTATTGTCATGGCTATGCTAGTAGTCATACCTGGTCTGTCTAAGTCCTGTATTGTCCTGGCTATGCTAGTAGTCATACCTGGTCTGTCTAAGTCCTGTATTGTC